TCGGATTTCTGAAGGCCGTTCCATGTTTCCCTCTTCAAGCCCTGTCCTTTTCTCTTCAAGCCCTCGGCCCTGCGCGGGGCCGCTACCGCGGGTTCTGTGCTTCTCCATCGTCGTCGTCGGGGGGGGGCATGGATGGGGTTGGGGGGAATGGGGGAGGGGCGTATAGTAGCGGTTCGGCTGGAGCCTCCTCGGGGCCCAGCTTCCTCGCCCTCGCCGCCAGCCCTTGCGCCCCCCTGCTCTGCCCCCGCGCCCTCCACCGCGCCGCCCCCTCCCCCGACGCCCCCGCTGCGACGGCCCCTGCTGTTGCGGAGGACCACCGCTTGCATAATGATCATGGTCATGTTCGTGCTTCGGTTGTGCACGAGGACCACCGCTGGGGGGCGCGGCGGGGCCGCGGGGCGAGGGGCGAGGGGGGGGTGCATGGGTCGTGAAGGATGAGGCGGGGCGGAAGGGTGATGGAGGGCTGGTCCCAGGGAAGTAAGGATAGGCGGGGGTGGTCTCCATTGCTTCCCTGGCGGTTGCATCTGCACGGTGACTCCGCGAAGGGGCGGCGAGGGGGCGATGGCAAGCAGCGTCGACCGCGGTGTCGAAGTCACCCCGGCATCCTGCCATCATATTCTGCTTCCCCTGATGAGGCCCTCCTCCGCCGCCCGCCACCTCCCTGCCCTCTCCGCCGCCGCCTCCCGCCTCCTCCTCATTCCCCCTCCCCCTCCTCCTCTTCCCCTGTTCCTTCTCGTTGACTTAGACTCCTCTCGCCTCCTGGTCCTCCTCCTCGTTCCCCCTCCTCTCCCTCCTCCTCCCCCCCCGCCCGCGCCGCCTCTGAGGACCGCCTCTGACTATAATAACTTCGCCGTCGCCACGCCGATGACGCCGAGGACCTCCTGGTGGCCACTGGTGGCGCGGCGGGGTCGCGGGGCGCCCCGCCTCCTGCTCTCGGTCGCGTCTGACGCGCGCCCTAGCCCCCCGCCCCCCCCCCCCCCCCAGTGACCTGCCCCAGGGGTTTCAAGAGCGCGCCAAGCGGTTGTGGTCGGGGTCCGAAAGCCCAGACGGGCTCAGGATAGCTCCTCGAAAGGTCGCCCTGAAGCAGCAGGCTCCATCATGAGCTCAGCATATAGACAGCAAGCTTCTCGGCATTGGGGCCCGAGCGGTGCTGGTTTTAGTCGGGGGCGCACCCTAGCATATAGCTCGTTGGCGTTAGGGCTTTTCGCTAGGCTGTATGGCGAACGACCCCAAGGCCCCTCCCCCCTCATCCTAATATGGGCCCCCTGGGTGTCCATGGCCCACTGGGGCCGCCGCTCGGCTTTCAGCGGCCCCCCCTTCGTTGCCCGTGCACTTCCTCGCCAGCGTTGCTCCTTAAACAAAAAAAAAAAGAAAAAAAAAAAAAAAAAAAAAAAAAAGAAAAAAAAAAACAATAGACAAAAAAAAAAAAAAAAAAAAACAAATTAAAAAAGAATAAAAAAAAAAAAAGAGAAAAAAAAAAACGAAAAAAAAAAAAAAAAAAGAAAAGAAAAAAAAAAAATAAAAAAAAAAACAAACAGAAGAAGCTTCTTGTTCCAGGTTCATTGCCTTTCCTTGCTCATGGCTCGTCGCTCTTGGTCCACCGCGCGCGCGCGCTCTCCCCGTCGCCGACGGCGACCAGGGGGCGGCGCGCGGGGTCCGTAGCCACCTGGGTCAATGCAAGGCTCTTGGAAGCTCCTCCCGTCTCTTTGGGCCAGTTCGGATGGCGAGGGCGGGCTCGATGATCCTGACGAGTCGAGGGTCGGGGGGGCCGACCAACGCGGCGACGCTGTAGCAGGGGCAAGGGCAAGGGCGACGCTGTAGCAGGGGCAAGGACGACGGCGACGGCGGAGATGCGGGCGCGCGCTGCAGCGGCGCGGGCCTGGGAGAGGAGGCGCCCGAGGAGGTGGAGGAGGAGGGGGATGAGGAGGAGGAGGCAGATGCGGATGAGGAGGAGGAGGCTCCTGAGGCATATGGGGGCAGAAGAGGAAGAGGAGGAATCGGAGGAGGGCTGAGGGCGCTGGCTTGCCAGATGATGAGTCCGATGTACCGAGTACCGACGTCCCAGCGGAGCATGCAGGTCACAGATGCAGAAACATCCGAAGTAGGCATGCCCCTGAAGTCGGGGTTCAGGGCTTACAAGCGGCGTCGGTTGTCTCAGCGGCGGGCCGAGGCGGTCGACCGAGAGTTCGAACTGATCCGAGGAGACTTTGAATGCTCGTCTGCGGCAGCTCTCGACCCCATCCGTCGGGCCATCCGTTTCGGCGTGTCAGGGGCCCTGCTGCTAGCCCGCCTGCCAATGCTGCGCGTGCTGTCATCCCTCCGTTAGACCGCACGGCCACGCTTCGCCGCCTACGGAAGCTTGCTAACCGACCACTCGGCCGCGGTTGAGCAGAGACCCGAAACGCCCGCCGACATTCCACCGCTCCGCGTCCCTCGCCCCTCTCTCATCGCGACGCGACCATCCCATCGTCGTCACCGTTGCCATTGCCAATGCGATTGCATAAGGAAGGCGGGATGGGGAGGGGGGGGGAAGCAGGAACGACTCGGAGCGACCATCCCTCCTCTACGGTGCTCTACGTGCCACGTGCTCGTCCCCCTCCTGGTCCACCTCGTGGAGTCCTCCTCTGACTTTCCACTCTCCACCTCCTCCTCACCCCGCTCCTCCTCCTCCCGCTCCTCCTGCTCCTGTCGCAGTGGAGTCCTCGCTTGGGTCTCGCGTGGCATTTTGGGCCCATATTGGGGCCGCCAGCGCCTGTGCGCCTATGTTCGACACACGATTACATATAGGTGCTTCAGACAGACCACAACGTATGCAAGTGCTAACCTATACCCGCAGGCATACATCTGCGCGTGCAACTATAGCAAGGCATCGTTGCCCAAGATGTGCCCAAGATGCGTCCAAGCCTGCCCACAGCTGCCCAAACTGTGCGCCTCGGTGGGGGCGGGTGGGCGACTGCTCGCTCTGGAGGGCCGTAGACACTTGGGCTCGAGCAAGCTATTCAGTGAGCGGAGGCCCTGGCCCACCAACTACTCGACGTTCTCGACTCGACGGCTATGGCGTCAGCGGGCCTGGCGATTGCGGCGCAGCAGGAGGTGATGGCCCGCGGCGGCGGCCGGCGCACCGTCATCCTGATCGACGGGACTTCTGGGACTAGCCGTTACGACGATCCCGACACGAGCGAGTACAACATTGTGTCTGCGCACGAGGTCATGGGCAGGCTGACGGCGTACTTCAAGGAGCTGGACGCGTGGGCCCCCGTGCGTTGCCCTGTCGTCTTCGACCAGGCGTCCATGAGGCTGTGCGCCCAGGTGGGCGCGATCAAGAAGGCGATCGCTGCGGATGTCTCGACATACCGCGGCACCCGCATCAACATTCACCTGATCACTGGGCAGTCGCCAAATGGTGAGGCGTTGGACGATGCCCACTGCATCGGCCTCAGGAAGTGGATCTACGTTTCCATCATGGACGAGTCGTCGGAGCCTACGCCTGCAGTGTGGCCGCCTGAGTCTGTCACCGCGATTAACGCGCACGTCTTCTTGCACGACACGGGCGAGTGGAAGACCATCTCAATGCCGAACCGTGAGGCCCGCACGGGTGGCCGCCACTACGTCAGCATCAAGGAGCTCAAGAAGGAGGCGATGATCGCATTCTACGGCGACTTCGGCGTGGACATCAATGAGTCCTCCACAGAGGTCAAGATCTATAACAACAGTGCGGGTTCTGCGAAGCTGCCGATCCTTGGCGACTGGGCCCGCGTGAAGCACAACAGGTGGTACTCCATGACGCGCGGCATGGAGCTCACGGACCTGCAGCCTGCGCCAACGTCTCCAGATGGTCAGTCGCTCGCCTCGTGGGGTGATCCCTTGTCTGACTGCCAGTAGGCATCGCGACATCGCTGGAGGCTGGGGGCTCCAGGCAGGCGGCCTGACCATCATGTCATATATAAGCGGTTCCGCCTATGCTGTGCCATTCGGTGTTACCCCGGCACTTTGCGCTTCGTGCGCCACTCACCAGGCGGAAGGTGCAATCGGTCAGAGCATGTGCCCAAACTCTGGTTTCGCTTCCCCGACGGCGACAGTGCGACGGCGACGGCGCGACGACGACGAACGTAACATTGCGAAAGGCCCAACCATATGCACTTGCGAGTGGCGCCAGCGGTGCCGTTATATGTCAACCGGCGTCGTCTGGAACCACCTGTCGGGCCACGAAACGGGTGCGCGTGCGAAACTGGTGGCAAGGGATGGTTGGGTCTCACGCGCCGTTCCCATCAGCTGACATCCCCGTCGGCCCCTCTCCCCCCATACCGCCCGCCCGCTCATTGCCCGCCACCAATGGCCGCCCTCCTGCAAGTCCTCGGCGCCCTCGTGGAAGCCATGAGCTTGTTGTTCAGTGTCCTTGGCTGGCGGTAGCCCAGCTCAGGGCTCACATACTCATAGCTCATAGCCCAGGGACTACCGTATCCCCTGCCTCCTGCTGTTGCTTCTCCACCTTGAAGGCCTCCCCCCTCCTCCATCACTCCTCCTCGTCCTCCCGAATCCTCCTCGTCCTCCTCCCTCCCACCCCCTCTCATCCTCAGGACTCCTAGTAGTCCTCCTCCTCATCCTCATCCTCACCCCTCATCATGACTCATCGCTCCCCGTTCCTCCATCCGCTTGCTTGCTTCAAAGCCTTAGCCATATCATCATATCACCAGCCTCCCCCCTCGCCCCCTGCATCCATCCTGTGTGTCCCCCCCCACCGCCCAACTTCGCCATTCCTCGTCACCCTCGGCAGCCCTCGCCCTTCACCCTTCACCCCCCCGCCCGCAAGTCATTAGTTTGCCCGACCCCCATCCTCATCCGCCCAGCTCCCCGAGCCGCCAGTGTAGCGGGGAATCGGGGAGTTCTCCCACCTCCACCCATACCGTCGAGGCAATTTCGGCTGGTTTGTTGCCATCTGCGAGGGGGGCGCCAGGCGCCGCCTGGCCTCCAGTCGCCGACCCCTGCCTGCTGCAGCCATCATGCCACCGCCCAAGTCGAAAAAGCAGCCCCAGCCCGTGGAGGATGGCAAGACCATCGGCGCCCACTTCAAGAAGGCGGGCAAGGACAAGGACCAGGATGCGGCCGATGCGCCGACCGATCTGGGCGACGCGCAGGGCGCCGACGGCGCCGCGCAGGAGGCGGAGGATCGACAACATGGTGATCGTGACCCTGGCCGTGGTGCTGGTGGCTCTGGCTCTGCCAGCTCTGGCCCGATGGATGTTGATGGTAAAGGGTCGGGTGAGGCCATCGCCGCCGACGCCGAGGCGGCGGTCGGGGCCGATGCCGCGACCACGGCCGCCACGGGCGGAGGCGGCCCCGACGGCCCGACGGCGGCGGCGGCGGCGCAGGCCCTGGCTCTGCTGTGAAGTCGCCGTTGCCCGCAGGGTCTCCGCTCAGCGCCAAGGCCGCCACGCCGCACTTCCCCGCGGGGCCCGCGGGGGGGTGGCCGTCGCCTGGGCCTGCGGGCTCGCCCGCGACCCCCGCGCCTGCGGGCTCGCCCACGCCCCCCATGCTGTGCGGCCCGAGCACGCCCAACAGTGAGTGCGCCATGGGGGTGGTGGAGGCCGAGGCCGCCGGCGACGGCCAGTTCAAGTGCAAACGGTGCAACGTTCTGTGCAGCAACGACGAGAGGCAGATCGTGCAACGGAGGTCTACCGAGGACTGCATCTCTTGCGGCAAGAGCTACAAGGCACTCACCAACAGGTGGCGCAAGAACGGCAAGCTCAAGGAGTGGTGGAACAACAAATCGGCTCAGGAGAAGACCTTGTGGTACCAGGAGCACAGGAACAAGCAAGTCGCGGCCCCTGCGTCCAACAGAATACACCTCCTGACCACTGACCTCCTCCTATGATCTCCTCTCCTCGCCTCTCCTCCTCCTCCTTCCGACTCCTTCCCCCGCCTCCGCTTAGCTTCTTCATCCTTCTCTTCCGTCTCCTCCAGGACGAGACGGAGGAGGAGGGGTCCTCCTCCTCCTCCGCTCGCCCTCCTCCTCCTCCTCCTCCTCCTCCTCCCTCCTCCTCCTCCTCCCCCCGTGCCCCCTCCTCCTCCTCATCCCCCTCATCTTCCTCCCCTGAGGCCCCCAAAGAGTTAATGGTGGGGGAGGTGTCGTCGACGCAGGAGGTGCTGCAGGGAGACGCGTCTCGGATCCACTGGAAGCCTTGGAGCATTGTGAAGCGCGATCTCTTTATGGAGGGCTTCACGTCGGAGCAGGATCAACTGGCGGAGTGGAGGAGCCGCATCTTAAAGGGCATCTACAAGGTCCAGAAGGACGAAGAGACACAGCAGTGGTTGGTCGGGGAGTACCAGGGCAAGTTTCAGGACTTGACCAGGCAGCAGCGCTTGTCGGGCTCAGTGAAACGCGACGCCTGCGAGCTCACCAGCGCGGAGGACCTCCAGAACTTCATGGCCGACATTAAGAACACGATGGAGGGCGCATTGGGTGAGTTCACTCAGGCGCGGTCGAGCGCGCTCGCGGGGGCCGCAGACGGCGCGCCGACTGACGTCCCCGAGCAGTGGATCGCATCGCATGTGGAGGCCGAGCAGTGGGACCCCGTCTTGGGGCTCTCCATCACGGACGGCCTCATGGAGATCGAGCAGCACAACCAGAAGGCGGACGAGTACAAGCGCCTGTGCAACAGGGAGGATACCGAGGCGGCGGCCATCAAGCCAATGGAGGAGGCCATCGATGCGAAATCCATGAAGGCAGTGGCCAAGCGGCAGGCCGCCAAGAAGCTCACGGACGCGATGCGCCAGAAGCTCGTTGACGGCCTCAATGCATTGGCTCCTTTGGCCCAAATGCCCCCCCCGTCCCGATCGTCCATCTTTGTCGTCGTTCTCCTCATCTCCCTCCTCATTCAGGTTTCCGAGAGCGTGGACGTCAGGGGGTTCATGTCCGATAGGTTGACCAGTGACGCTTTGAAGGAGGAGCCGATCGCGGGACTTGTCGCCAGGCTGGTGGTCTTCGAGAAAGAGACGCCGAATATCGTGACAAATGTAGATGCCTTGCTGATGAAGATTGCCAATATGAGCGACGACGCCTCGTGGAACTTCAACCTGGAGCCCATCAAGGCCGCCCTCAAGGATGCGAGCGAGAAGACCAGGGCGGATGGCACCCACTGGTCCGACTTCAGGAAGGCAATCGCGGAATGCAAGACCGCGGCCCAGAAGAAGGTGGATGCGGCCGCTGGCTCTACACTTAAGAAGAAGAAGCTCACAGATAAAGCCAAGGACGCGAAGGACACCAATTGCAGCGCGGACATGGCCAACAAGCTCGTGTTCGTCGGCCTCTCCGTTGAGGAGCTCAACGGCGGCGTCAACATCGAGACCACCTTCGAGGCCGTCCAGCGCCCTGGTAAAGCCTCGGTGATGCAGGTGCCGCAGCTCATGGAGGGCGCACAGAAGGCTAACGGCTGGAACGCTCTCGACTCGTGGCTCAAGGAGAAGGTCAAGGCCGAGGAGAACATTTGCTTTGGCGCGGTGACCCAGCCTGAGATCGTCGCCTCCGCGAAATCATCGCTGCTTGCTGTCCGCGCCGACAGCATGCTGTTCCGCACGGCGTTCCTGGCGAAGTCGCCCCAGCTCGCGAAGCTGACCAAGGCGATGTTCGGCATGCAGGCTTTCTTCGCCCCGCGGAAGCACACGCAGGTGTTGCCGCCCCCTTTCGGGATTGGCGAGGTGCGGGCCGTCTTCGAGGGCAAGGAGCTCGTGGTGGCGCAGCAGATGGTCGGGGAGCCGCTCGACGCGCAGATCTCCAAGCTCCAGAGCATGAGTTCGGGGGACCTGCTCAACTTGATCCGCGAGGCCCGCTGCCCCCCCCCCCCTCACTTTTCTTCATCGCGTCACCCCCCCCCGCTATTCGTAGATCCACGCTCCCCCCCTCCATCCTCGGCGTATGTTTCCTCCCCTCTCCTCTTCGTTATCCTCCCTCCTCCTCCGCTTCTCCTGCCCCTCCTCCTTCTCCCCATCCTGCCCCCCCCCTCCTCGTCTCGTCTTGGGCTCGTCGTCCTCCTCGTCCTCCTCCTCGTCCTTCTCGTCGTCCTCGCCATCATGCCCATCTTCGTCGCGTCCACCGTCGTCTCTATGGTCTTCGCTGGACTGGCCGATATTATCGCCATTGTCGTCGAGGGCGTCGGTCGTCGGTCGTCGCCGCGTCGCCGTCGTCGCCGTCGTCCGAGTCGGCGCCGCAACGTCGCAACCGCCGCCGTCGTCTATCTGCGTCGTCGGCTCTGCCCTTGCTCCCCCATGCGTCTGGCCCAGGCCCCCAACTTTGCGCTCATCATCAAGCAGGGCGACGTCGCCTGGCTGCCGACGGGGTTCGTGTACATGATATTCCACCTGATGCCCACCATTGGGATGCGGTGGGGGTGCTTCCCCAGCTGGGCAGGGGAGGCCAGCCGCTCACGCAGGGTTACGGTCGCGACGATGGAGGCATTCTCTAAGATGAAGGGGACGGTGTTGGAAGACTGGAACACGATGCTTGCAACGCTAGCCGACCAGCCAGCCTGATGTTTGAGTTTCAAGCGGCCGAGTGAGCGAGTTAGCGCCCTCGCGCTCTCGCGATGCCACCATCGTTGCTGTTGCTGTCTAACTCTCAAGCGCACCCCTGTGCTGCGCCCAGCCGCCAGCCCTTCGAAACCGTCGCCCACCGGCGACTTCGGCGTGGACATCAATGAGTCCTCCACAGAGGTCAAGATCTATAACAACAGTGCGGGTTCTGCGAAGCTGCCGACGGACCTGCAGCCTGCGCCAACGTCTCCAGATGGTCAGTCGCTCGCCTCGTGGGGTGATCCCTTGTCTGACTGCCAGTAGGCATCGCGACATCGCTGGAGGCTGGGGGCTCCAGGCAGGCGGCCTGACCATCATGTCATATATAAGCGGTTCCGCCTATGCTGTGCCATTCGGTGTTACCCCGGCACTTTGCGCTTCGTGCGCCACTCACCAGGCGGAAGGTGCAATCGGTCAGAGCATGTGCCCAAACTCTGGTTTCGCTTCCCCGACGGCGACAGTGCGACGGCGACGGCGCGACGACGACGAACGTAACATTGCGAAAGGCCCAACCATATGCACTTGCGAGTGGCGCCAGCGGTGCCGTTATATGTCAACGGGCGTCGTCTGGAACCACCTGTCGGGCCACGAAACGGGTGCGCGTGCGAAACTGGTGGCAAGGGATGGTTGGGTCTCACGCGCCGTTCCCATCAGCTGACATCCCCGTCGGCCCCTCTCCCCCCATACCGCCCGCCCGCTCATTGCCCGCCACCAATGGCCGCCCTCCTGCAAGTCCTCGGCGCCCTCGTGGAAGCCATGAGCTTGTTGTTCAGTGTCCTTGGCTGGCGGTAGCCCAGCTCAGGGCTCACATGCTCATAGCTCATAGCCCAGGGACTACCGTATCCCCTGCCTCCTGCTGTTGCTTCTCCACCTTGAAGGCCTCCCCCCTCCTCCATCACTCCTCCTCGTCCTCCCGAATCCTCCTCGTCCTCCTCCCTCCCACCCCCTCTCATCCTCAGGACTCCTAGTAGTCCTCCTCCTCATCCTCATCCTCACCCCTCATCATGACTCATCGCTCCCCGTTCCTCCATCCGCTTGCTTGCTTCAAAGCCTTAGCCATATCATCATATCACCAGCCTCCCCCCCTCGCCCCCTGCATCCATCCTGTGTTTCCCCCCCCACCGCCCAACTTCGCCATTCCTCGTCACCCTCGGCAGCCCTCGCCCTTCACCCCCCCGCCCGCAAGTCATTAGTTTGCCCGACCCCCATCCTCATCCGCCCAGCTCCCCGAGCCGCCAGTGTAGCGGGGAATCGGGGAGTTCTCCCACCTCCACCCATACCGTCGAGGCAATTTCGGCTGGTTTGTTGCCATCTGCGAGGGGGGCGCCAGGCGCCGCCTGGCCTCCAGTCGCCGACCCCTGCCTGCTGCAGCCATCATGCCACCGCCCAAGTCGAAAAAGCAGCCCCAGCCCGTGGAGGATGGCAAGACCATCGGCGCCCACTTCAAGAAGGCGGGCAAGGACAAGGACCAGGATGCGGCCGATGCGCCGACCGATCTGGGCGACGCGCAGGGCGCCGACGGCGCCGCGCAGGAGGCGGAGGATCGACAACATGGTGATCGTGACCCTGGCCGTGGTGCTGGTGGCTCTGGCTCTGCCAGCTCTGGCCCGATGGATGTTGATGGTAAAGGGTCGGGCGAGGCCATCGCCGCCGACGCCGAGGCGGCGGTCGGGGCCGATGCCGCGACCACGGCCGCCACGGGCGGAGGCGGCCCCGACGGCCCGACGGCGGCGGCGGCGGCTGCAGGCCCTGGCTCTGCTGTGAAGTCGCCGTTGCCCGCAGGGTCTCCGCTCAGCGCCAAGGCCGCCGCGCCGCACTTCCCCGCGGGGCCCGCGGGGGGGGTGGCCGTCGCCTGGGCCTGCGGGCTCGCCCGCGACCCCCGCGCCTGCGGGCTCGCCCACGCCCCCCATGCTGTGCGGCCCGAGCACGCCCAACAGTGAGTGCGCCATGGGGGTGGTGGAGGCCGAGGCCGCCGGCGACGGCCAGTTCAAGTGCAAACGGTGCAACGTTCTGTGCAGCAGCGACGAGAGGCAGATCGTGCAACGGAGGTCTACCGAGGACTGCATCTCTTGCGGCAAGAGCTACAAGGCACTCACCAACAGGTGGCGCAAGAACGGCAAGCTCAAGGAGTGGTGGAACAACAAATCGGCTCAGGAGAAGACCTTGTGGTACCAGGAGCACAGGAACAAGCAAGTCGCGGGCCCTGCGTCCAACAGAATACACCTCCTGACCACTGACCTCCTCCTATGATCTCCTCTCCTCGCCTCTCCTCCTCCTCCTTCCGACTCCTTCCCCCGCCTCCGCTTAGCTTCTTCATCCTTCTCTTCCGTCTCCTCCAGGACGAGACGGAGGAGGAGGGGTCCTCCTCCTCCTCCGCTCGCCCTCCTCCTCCTCCTCCTCCTCCTCCCCCTCCTCCTCCTCCTCCCCCCGTGCCCCCCCCCCTCCCCCTCATCCCCCTCATCTTCCTCCCCTGAGGCCCCCAAAGAGTTAATGGTGGGGGAGGCGTCGTCGACGCAGGAGGTGCTGCAGGGAGACACGTCTCGGATCCACTGGAAGCCTTGGAGCATTGTGAAGCGCGATCTCTTTATGGAGGGCTTCACGTCGGAGCAGGATCAACTGGCGGAGTGGAGGAGCCGCATCTTAAAGGGCATCTACAAGGTCCAGAAGGACGAAGAGACACAGCAGTGGTTGGTCGGGGAGTACCAGGGCAAGTTTCAGGACTTGACCAGGCAGCAGCGCTTGTCGGGCTCAGTGAAACGCGACGCCTGCGAGCTCACCAGCGCGGAGGACCTCCAGAACTTCATGGCCGACATTAAGAACACGATGGAGGGCGCATTGGGTGAGTTCACTCAGGCGCGGTCGAGCGCGCTCGCGGGGGCCGCAGACGGCGCGCCGACTGACGTCCCCGAGCAGTGGATCGCATCGCATGTGGAGGCCGAGCAGTGGGACCCCGTCTTGGGGCTCTCCATCACGGACGGCCTCATGGAGATCGAGCAGCACAACCAGAAGGCGGACGAGTACAAGCGCCTGTGCAACAGGGAGGATACCGAGGCGGCGGCCATCAAGCCAATGGAGGAGGCCATCGATGCGAAATCCATGAAGGCAGTGGCCAAGCGGCAGGCCGCCAAGAAGCTCACGGACGCGATGCGCCAGAAGCTCGTTGACGGCCTCAATGCATTGGCTCCTTTGGCCCAAATGCCCCCCCCGTCCCGATCGTCCATCTTTGTCGTCGTTCTCCTCATCTCCCTCCTCATTCAGGTTTCCGAGAGCGTGGACGTCAGGGGGTTCATGTCCGATAGGTTGACCAGTGACGCTTTGAAGGAGGAGCCGATCGCGGGACTTGTCGCCAGGCTGGTGGTCTTCGAGAAAGAGACGCCGAATATCGTGACAAATGTAGATGCCTTGCTGATGAAGATTGCCAATATGAGCGACGACGCCTCGTGGAACTTCAACCTGGAGCCCATCAAGGCCGCCCTCAAGGATGCGAGCGAGAAGACCAGGGCGGATGTCACCCACTGGTCCGACTTCAGGAAGGCAATCGCGGAATGCAAGACCGCGGCCCAGAAGAAGGTGGATGCGGCCGCTGGCTCTACACTTAAGAAGAAGAAGCTCACAGATAAAGCCAAGGACGCGAAGGACACCAATTGCAGCGCGGACATGGCCAACAAGCTCGTGTTCGTCGGCCTCTCCGTTGAGGAGCTCAACGGCGGCGTCAACATCGAGACCACCTTCGAGGCCGTCCAGCGCCCTGGTAAAGCCTCGGTGATGCAGGTGCCGCAGCTCATGGAGGGCGCACAGAAGGCTAACGGCTGGAACGCTCTCGACTCGTGGCTCAAGGAGAAGGTCAAGGCCGAGGAGAACATTTGCTTTGGCGCGGTGACCCAGCCTGAGATCGTCGCCTCCGCGAAATCATCGCTGCTTGCTGTCCGCGCCGACAGCATGCTGTTCCGCACGGCGTTCCTGGCGAAGTCGCCCCAGCTCGCGAAGCTGACCAAGGCGATGTTCGGCATGCAGGCTTTCTTCGCCCCGCGGAAGCACACGCAGGTGTTGCCGCCCCCTTTCGGGATTGGCGAGGTGCGGGCCGTCTTCGAGGGCAAGGAGCTCGTGGTGGCGCAGCAGATGGTCGGGGAGCCGCTCGACGCGCAGATCTCCAAGCTCCAGAGCAGAGTTCGGGGGACCTGCTCAACTTGATCCGCGAGGCCCGCTGCCCCCCCCCCCCCCCCCCCCCCCCACACACTTTTCTTCATCGCGTCACCCCCCCCCCCCCGCTATTCGTAGATCCACGCTCCTCCCCTCCATCCTCGGCGTATGTTTCCTCCCCTCTCCTCTTCGTTATCCTCCCTCCTCCTCCGCTTCTCCTGCCCCTCCTCCTTCTCCCCATCCTGCCCCCCCCCTCCTCGTCTCGTCTTGGGCTCGTCGTCCTCCTCGTCCTCCTCCTCGTCCTTCTCGTCGTCCTCACCATCATGCCCATCTTCGTCGCGTCCACCGTCGTCTCTATGGTCTTCGCTGGACTGGCCGATATTATCGCCATTGTCGTCGAGGGCGTCGTCGTCGGTCGTCGCCGCGTCGCCGTCGTCGCCGTCGTCCGAGTCGGCGCCGCAACGTCGCAACCGCCGCCGTCGTCTATCTGCGTCGTCGGCTCTGCCCTTGCTCCCCCATGCGTCTGGCCCAGGCCCCCAACTTTGCGCTCATCATCAAGCAGGGCGACGTCGCCTGGCTGCCGACGGGGTTCGTGTACATGATATTCCACCTGATGCCCACCATTGGGATGCGGTGGGGGTGCTTCCCCAGCTGGGCAGGGGAGGCCAGCCGCTCACGCAGGGTTACGGTCGCGACGATGGAGGCATTCTCTAAGATGAAGGGGACGGTGTTGGAATACTGGAACACGATGCTTGCAACGCTAGCCGACCAGCCAGCCTGATGTTTGAGTTTCAAGCGGCCGAGTGAGCGAGTTAGCGGCTCCCCTATCACGCGGTTTGCTCGTTCGAGCTCCATTGCCTATTTTTTTGTCCAGCTTGACGGGGGGGACATTGAAGAGGCAATGAGGGGATAACATGTTTCCTTTTGGTGTTTGAAGGTTTTGTGCATCTCGGTGTATCTTTTTTCTTGGGGTCACATTCGGAGCCTCTGGGCCCTATCGGGCCTATCTTGGGTGAGTTCGGCGACGAAGTGGGGTGCTCAATTTGGGCCGCCCCTCGATCGCCCCGAACGGGGGCCCAGCGCTCTTGGGCGCTACTGGGCGCTCTCATGCCCGCATTGGTGGC